CATGCAGAAACGCGAGGATTTAATAATCGAACGCCGCGTCGTCTTGAATTACACGACTATCACTTGTGAAAGAAAATTCTGTTCTTCTGTGTATGATGAATCGATTTCAAGGCAGAGTGAAGAATACCGTTCGGATGTCCGAGGAACGTTGTGCGATATTATTACATTACGTTTCTCATTTCTTTCGCCGCGTTCAACGAGACAGAAATATCTGGAATAAAAGTAGTTCATCATTATTCGAAAATCAATTACAAGAGGTCGATTTGATAAATACGTCTGTGCGTTCTGTTCTTCGAAATGGTACATTGCTCGGCTCCGGCTGTATTTGAGAGTATTTCCAGCGTACTACATACATACACATGTATCGTGCTCAAAGGAAACGCCTAGCATCCTAGCTGGTCGCTCCGCTCCTAGTATAGAATATACTTGTTCCAAAGGAGGACAAGAGAAGCGGTGATCGCGCAAAACCGTTCACCGCGGCTGGTGAATTTCACTCGCCGGTTCTTTCTCCGAGAAATCTCCGGTCCTATGACGGAAAATGAAACTCGATATTGTAATTCCACGCGCTTGTGTAACGCGACCTGTCGTTGGAAACGTCGAGAACGACATGTGCGTCGCCCTTTTTCAAACCCGACGCTGCTGCACTTCGTGAAATGAATTTAAAGCGTGGGCGGCACGATGACGCGAACGTGAACACCGCGATATTAAAACACAAAACGGCTGAATGTCAGACTGAAATTCACTAGAAACCGCTGGCTGTGCTTTATACAGGATACAGACACCTAATAATAACGTGACGGTGTTCCCGTCGTTCGTTTAAATTCGACGCGTGAACGCCAAATATGAAATTAACTGTATCCTAAGTTATCCTTTCGTCGAGTCGAGCGTCGAAAGGAACGGTGCTCGACAGGATTAGCTTGAAAAACCTCTCGACGACGTAATCCAGCCTGATAATTTCTCACTAAACTTATAAAAACCGTTTGAGATCTTCTCGCCCTTTTTCTTCCTCGCCTCTTTAGTCTCTTTTCATCGTCGAACCGCACGCTGTTCGTTTGCTCGTTCGTTTGCACGCCAATCCGACTTGTCTGCTTGTTCATTCGTTATTCCGTGAATAAATAATTGAACGAACATGCGCGTGCGAAAGCATGATGAAAATTTCAATCGATGGCTTTCCGTCCGTTCACTGCTGCAAAATTATTCATTGATCTCTTTTTCACAGTCTAGTCTATTTCACTATTTCACACTCCCTTCATCCATCTCTCTCTCTCTCTCTCTCTCTCACACATTCTATCTCTTTGGCCTGTCTCTGTTTCTCCCTGCGAGTCCTGCGACAAGCAATTCTCTGCTCGCGCATATTATCTTTCATATTAGCCTACCTACGAAACCTCGTTTCACCTTGCATTTTTGCCTCGTTAATGCGCCTTACAGGACCTGTTCCGCGATTGTAAAACATAAGTGGTAGATACATCCGTGTGTCTGTTTCTTTCAACGGCAACAGAGTCGAAGAGAAATGGGGAATGGCCTGTGAATCTCCGCAGCTAGTGCCTAATCTAGGTCAACGGAATTGAATGTACAATCGAGTTGGGATGGTATGACTATAGTATCAAGACCAAATATATTCCAAGTAGTACTGAAATTTGATGGAATAGATTCGAAGTAAATAGCAAATGACGTCTACGTCTGGTACCCTCTGCAAAACGTTTATTCTGCAAGAATTTCTACAATTAGTATTCCGTGTTGAAACGAAGTCACATACACGACAGACGCTACAATAAATTTTGTCTTATTTAGAATGTTTCTTACCGATGAAAATCCCTTTTCTGAAGCTACCGTCACGACAAAGTATAGCTAGGTTTTGTTTACGAGAAGTAATTTCCAGAAGCTCTGCCGTGCTCGAAAGAAACACCTAGCATCTTACTCCGCTTCCTTTTTGCTCTTGCGATGAAACAAACGAGGATAGATGAGTGAAACATTATCTATTACGACAAAGAAAATCATATTTGCAATAAGATTTCCCATTTGTATCGTTCAAATCCTGTGCTTAATAATTATATTCTAAACTTCATAGCAACGTTTCATAAATAATTCAGTTTCCGCGCGTTAAACGATGCTCGCGTAACAAGTTCTTTAACATTCACAATCACTCATTGAACTTGACCTCTAAACATTCTCAAAGAAGTTATTTATTCCAAAATAACTTCTAAAAGACTATCTTTTGTTTCTCGTTATCGTGTTCATACAAGTAAACAAGGTAGAGGCAGATTCAAATAATTCTGAAAGCCCGAGATTCCGTGTCTTCACTACGCAACAAGATCCCCGTTTTTTTTCTTTAATACCTAGCTAGGCAAGCCTATGTAACTAGTCCGCGTGTATGTATACGCGGACGTACGAGAAGAGGCATGTAAATAAACAATTTCAAGTAACAGTAGGCTACACACTGCTGCTGTTGCTGCTGCTGCTAAATTATACCGCGAATCGATCATGCTTTTATGTGTTGCGTATTACAACGGTGAATCCGGGAACGAGAGACGACGAACGCCAGCCAGGAAGTAATAGACGAATGATAGAGTTGAGCGCGGGGAATTTTTATGGGTAAATCGATGTTGCACGCGGAAAGGGCAAGGCGTGAGAGAGGAATATCAGGAGAACTCGTAGAGGGGCATAGAGAAAGAGGAAGAAGGAAGGCAGCAGAGAAATAGCAGGTAGAAAGAGAGAGAGAAGCCTCGATTGGCTGAGGAGAAGGGAGAAGCTGCGAAAGAACGAGAGAGAGAGAGAGAGAGAAAGAGAAAATGAGAGGAGGAGGGAGTAGGGAGAGGAAGAGAGAGAAAGGAAGGTGAAATGTTTGTACGCATACAGCAGAGCGACAAAGAAGGCGAGAGGCAAAGGGCGCTAGAAATCTGGAGCGGGGATGGATCCGGGGGCTTTTGCGCTGTGCACACGACCTTGAATACCAGCCAGCCTAGACCTTGCCACAGCTCTTTCGCTCGGCTTGCCTAGTCCAGAGACCGCTTCGCCTCTACATACACACACACACACTACATATACATAGACACATGAACACATGCATACATACTGTTGTTTCGAACGCCGGCCTAAATCCGATATCTCGCTTCCTCTTTCTTCTTACCTTGTCCATCCCACGGCTTGCGGCGGGTTTGGACCGCGCGCGATTGCATCGATTACGTAAAGATGGAAACTCGAATAATCACCGGCTGGATCTCGGGTAATTTTACTTAGAGCTGCACTGGACGGCACAATTATTTCTGAAATGCAACAACGTTGCAGTTTATATAGGAAGTTGGAATTGGAGTCATATTTTGCCACGACTAGAACGTAATTACGAACTGTAATTTGAAATTTGAAATTTGCACGCAGAAGCAAAGAATGTCCACCGTAGTTGAAGAGAAGATTACGATATTTTCTGTTTTCAAGTCAAACATTTGTATGCCCCTTGACGCATGTCAATGTGTCGCTCCTTTCATTTTCAATCCTGTGTTCGAAAAATTTTAAAGAAACGATCAGACTGAGAAGCCTACGAGAATATTCAAAAATTCTAAAGGACATCACCGTATTTACCACGCAAACATCGAAAGCTAGCAAACTGCAGCTTAGCTTTCTATTTATATTCTTTTAATGATGAATTCGTTGAACTGATTTATCTGACCTTTATTGTAAATACACACAAGTACAGCAGACCGACGTCTGGAAAGCAACAAAACGAATGGTATACTTCTTGTACACAAATCCAGAAATATTTATACTTACATCGAGCATTTCCATTCTATTTCCATTCTATTTTAATTTCTCATTTGTAAATGGCAGCGAAAACATCGTTTATAGTGTATGTACATATGTGTATGTGTGACGGCATGAATGACATTTCAAAACAGATTCGCGTCGAACGATCATGGAGCATTTGAAATACGTTTGCACTTTTAATATTGTAAGAACAATACAGCTAAAGTATAGTGTTCGAGGTTTACGATCTGTTCCTCGCTGAAGCGTTTGTGCTAGGCAAGATCATAACGGATCTTTGGTCGCGACCGCGCCTAGAATCCAATAGGTCCAACATAACTCCGCCGTTTATTCATCTGACTTTTTATGTTTTTGCCAAATTGTGCAGTTCTCAAGATTATAGCGGCATCTATCTCGAAAATCGTGAAACACTCGTAATCACGTGACAATTGCATCGGTTATACCAGAATGTTACCAATCACACGATCTATCAAAGTTACATTACATTTCTAAATACTCGCCGTTAAATTTGAATTATGTTTTTCTCCTTTGTGCCGTCTTTTTCTGTATTTTACGTTTCGTTTAGAGAACTGCAAATTATTGAAATGAAAATTTCCAATGAATTGAAGTTTTAAAAATTGGAACGAAAATGAAATATCTTTCTGAATAAAGCAGTAATTTGTCATACGTGTATTAATTCGTATGTTATTGCATATACATATGTGTCATTGTAAGTAATTTTGTAATTGATATACTTAAATTTCAAAATAATGAAAAATATAAAATATTTAAAAAAAATGAAAACAAGGATAAACGGAAGTGAATTCAAACATAACTGAAGTTGTCGCTTTTTCAAATTGTCACGTGGTTCATCAGCAATTAATAATGAAATGTTATAATTTATCTAATTACGTTTGATATTTTATTAAATAATAGCATTACATAAAAATAGTTCTAAGTTCTAGTTGTCTTCGTTTTAATGGAAAATCGAAGTAATATAAATTAAATTATTATTTATTGAAAAATATTTCGAAATAATCGAACTGGTTACAAATGTTATATTTAGCGCCGATATGTGGCAGTGTGCACGCAACGTATAAACTTATGAGTTTACAATTTGATATAATATTGAATCAAAGTGTGCATTCTAGCCGGGTTTTGTCTGTTGGGATTAATTTTATTAAATATAAAAATATTTATTACGTATAAGAAATATTTCATTCTTTTACTTGAAAATCGAATTTGGAGAAGGGTGCCCAATGTCTTGAGTCGGCACTGAGCTAGAATTCAAATGCGATACTGTGTTTCCGCGTGTCGTCTCGTCGTGTTTTACTTGAAAATTTGCAGATTCGGATTGTTCGTGTTTGTAGTTGTTTTTACATCAATTCATAACTAACGAAATGATGAGTACACGAAGAAATTATAAGTACGTCAAAAAGTACAATTTCCCATCTACAAAACTTCGAAATGTGTTTTGCATACAGTGTAAACATCAATTCTTTTTTCAAGGTAATCATTCACGTTTTCATTCATACGCTTGCCGGTATTATCTTTTTTTTTTTTCATTATTCACGTAATGTATGTATTGACAACAAATGAAATACTTATTTATAATCTTTCGAAATATGATTTCAATGATTTGAAAAAAACATTTTTCAATCCACGTTTGAAAATATATATTTTCGATAATATCATACGATCGTAAGAAACATGATTGCTGATATGCACGTTGTTGAGCTTTGTAAATCTAAAATGAATGATAGTATCGTGAAGGTTAGGATAATATTTCTATTGTTATTTGGATTTCCTTTGCACACATTCATTTGGGAAATGTAATTGGAAAAGATGCTAAGAAAGCATTTAATTATTTTGTTTCAGAATTTGTTCCTTTACGTGGTGTAATGCCTTTATTATTAAACTGTGGACACATGATATGTGATGAATGTGTTAAATCATTTGCTAATAAACCTTGCCCTATGTGCAACGTAGTTTCACAATGCGATGATAATCAGGCATTTTCATTACCTTTAAACATATATACTTTGGGACTGATGGTTATGTCGCATAATAGATCAATTAATTCAGATGATTTAGATATTTCTTTCTCTAAACCTTCTGCATCCAAACCAAAACAGCAAAGCATGAAAGGTCTGTATCGTTTCGAAGACTAATTAGATATATTAAACGATGCCTTAAGTTGCAATAAAATATTCTTTATTTTCAGGTTTATGTTATGAATGTGGAATTCAAGCAACCATAAAGTGCCAACAATGCTCTGTTCTTTTTTGCCATATTTGTTACTCCAAGGTATATTGCTTATTGTGCGACATTGCTTTTTATTACATTATTGCTTGCTTTTTTGGGAAATATAGTGTTAATTATGTTCTTTCTAAATATTTCAAGAAATGATAAACATGTAGAATAAAAATATATATAATATAATACTGTTGTATTATAATATGATGAAAGTACAAATAATATAGTTAATGATATTTTGTGTTTGTGTTTTATTAGATCCATGGGAAGGCATTACAAAATCATTCAAAGATTATGCTAACAGAGGAAAACAATGATAATTCTTTCAACATAATAAATACTTGCTCAGAACAATGTTTTGAACCAGTAGGGTACTACTGCGAAAATTGTGAAATATCTGGATGTTCACATTGTATGATAAAATCTCATAAAAATCACAATTACTTGTCATTAAGCAAAAAGGTTTGTATTGTAAGCGATGTAAATAATTTCATTATGTTACATTGTTTAGAAATAATATGCTTTTATTTCTGTGTTTATTAGAATAATGAATTATTGATGGATTTCTACGACACATTTGACCGTGTGAGTGAGAACCTGAAAAGAGTTCAGCAGGTGCAAAAGGTAAGTAGATTTATTTATTTTTTCTACAGAAAAGGAATCATAATGCATGTATAATGAGTAAAAATATTCGCGTTAAACGATAAATAAATAATTTTATTTTATATTCGCAACAAAGTGTTAAATAGAAATATGAAATTGAAAAATTAATTTGCTGCAATTAATTGTACAAACCATTTTTTCAAGTAAAAAACTTTTAAATTAATTTATTGTCATGCTTGTATATTATTGTGTATATAATATATAATTGTTAATTTCTAAAATGCATGTGTAAATGCAAAAGTTTTCTATAAAGTAGTAAAGAATATATTCTTTACACAGTACAAATATGACTAGAGGGAAAAGAAATGTTTACTGACATTATCAATTATTCCATATGTGTTGGTTTCTGGCATTTCCAATTGTTTTAAACACATTACAATAATTTGATTTTTTCAACGTACAGATTGTATACAAAAATTTCCTTATTAAATACACAATACATAGAAACAAATAACACGCAAACTTATAATAAAAATATTGCACATTTTTGAGTTTCACAAAATTTCTCTATATCCAACAATGTGGATAAAAGTGAGACACAACCTATAATTGTACATTGCTATTTATAACAAACAATGGCAACATGATATATGTGAGGGTCAATCAAAAAGCTAGTTCACATAATTATATTTCATATTACAAAATATTCATGGCGCTATTTTTTTAATCTCTTTGTCAAAAAGATTCTGTCTTAAGATAGTCATTCTTTGTTTAAATAATATTACTGCTTTGTTTTCATTGGTCTAAAAACATGGAAGTCTCAAACTGAAAATTTTGGACTATTTTGACTATATGTTGTCATACTTCCTACTTGAATTTCTTCAATGGGTTTTTCAGGAAGCATGTCAAATGTGATATGGTAGATATGGAGGATAATCCCTTTCTTCACTTGTCTTGGTTGTCACTCTTCAATTACTTTTCTTAGTCTTGTCAAAGTTTCACAATATGTGAATCTGTGTGTGTTTGCATTGACACTTTGAATTTGTGTTTGCAAATATAATATTTTATTGAATGAATAAAATATATATATTTATTTGTCTACAAATTAAGACTTTATTATTTAAATTCAATATATTTTTAAACAAGTATAAAAATCGTTTCTATGTGAGTAAATAGAATTCTCCAGAAGTGGAAGTGACACTCAAAGTGTTAATGATAATGCTCTTGAGGTGTGTGAATTCATAATGCCTTGATTATCAAAGAATACTATTGTCATTCTAGCAAAAAAGTGTACAGTACTTTTTGTGAACTTTGTTTCTTTTCAGAGTGATTTAACTTTCATTTCCAATCACTATTCTATCTCCAGAAATTCATTCCCTTCATTGTACCATAACAATGCAAAAATACCAAAGCTGCTCGAAATCGTTCTTGTGTTTGTCAACAATTGAGATATCCATCGAGATACACAAACTTTTTTTGTAGGAATTTTTTCTTTAGATATTTGCCTACTTGCCTCAATCGGGTGCTTAACACATTCAACATTAACATTCGTTGTCATAGCTGACAGTCTTCTCTTCTGGTAATCGTCATTCTTGAATAAAACGTATCAATAGCTTGACGAGATATCTTACTGTGATCATAAACGTCATTGACGATAAATTTTACTACGGGGACACTTGTTTGCCCATAAAAAACGAATCACAGCGCGGATTTCCAATTTGGACGCTACTTCCAGCGGACACGCCATGTTTTACGATTGATGACAAATGAAAAACCATTGGAACGTCGAAGCCGTTGACACAACTTCGGAATAGAGATATTAAACATTATTTCCACCAAGTTTCATCGGGATATCTTTAATACACAAGAAATTTCAAGCGAGTGAAACTTTTTAACTGACCCTCTTACGTTAAATACGTGCTAAGATTGAACCAGCAATATTACATAATAATTTAACTACAACCTAGACACATATCGATTATTCATTTTGTTTCTCTTTTGTTGTTGTTTGTTCTTGAGCTTTCCCTTCTCTTTCTTTTTCTCCTTTCTCCTGCTGCTTCTTTAGCTTCTTCTCCTTCAGTTTTGCCTCCATCTCTTTAAACTTGAGTTCTAAATACCGATCTACTTCTGGCCCAGTGAAGTCTTCCGGGAACTTTGGCATTATCGGCAGAATGTACTTGTAGAGTCTCTCGTTTAAAACGTATAATTGAGTTGTTGTTTCGCATTTCACGTTGAACCACCAGTCGCACGTTAACGCAACTTGACTGAATATTGTACCATTCGGGCATAAAAACGATGATTTACCACCGTTAAGGTCACAGTAATGCCATACCTGCAAGAACAATATTATTATCACTGTTAGGAAAATTGCAAATTTGTACATACGAGATGAGGAAAAATAGAGAATACATATGTTGCGTGTAGATAATTTGTTTTTATAATTGTTTTCCAACAGAAACGATAGTTCTATTAGTTTGTTAACCAATGTCTTGATAGATTTATTAACAAAAAATTGATTCGTTCTTGCCAAATTTGTCACTTGTAAGTTACTTCACAGTCAATTTTATAATTAAGATTCCAATATATTGGAACATGAAAAAAAAAAAAGAAAGGAAACGTCACCTGGCATCCAGTGTCTGGATCTCCAAAAAATCCCTTGTAACGTTGTTCCTTGCAGCTGAAATTCGTACGAGGTATGCTAGAATAGGCCGGATAGTCTATATTGGCCTTTCCTCTCGTAGCGCCATATTTTAACGACGGCACTTTCGTGGTCGCCGCCTCGTTGGGTTTCGTATCATAGCTGTAAATCGGGTTTTCCGTAGTAACAGGTGGCAAGGGGAATCGCTCCTGTTGCAATATATCGTCGCTTAGATTCTCCGTGATCGCGTACGAATGGTCAATCGGACCTTCGTTAGCTTGCGGTTTGATCGTTGGCAGAAACGGTTCTTTCTGTTTCGTTGGTATCTCTTGCACCATCGGGATATAATATTCCACCACGTTGTTGTTGGTCAAGCTGTTCGTGTTGTAATTCGACTGAAGCGGCGGTTTATACTGAGGTTTCGTTTTATATTCGTACGACGATATTTTGTAACGTTCAGGATCGTCGGTCAAGTATAGTGGATTTGGCGTAGCTTGAAATCGTGTCTCGGTGATCACTTTCGGCCTTGTTTTCGGCCTCGTTTTGTAGCTCGTTGGTTTCGCGGGTACTCTGGGTGGTAGTGGTGGCAGTGGTGTCAAGGGTGGTGCTTGAATCTGTGGGAATTCTTCTGTTTTCGTGCCGTGAAGAATATTCAATATCTCCGCGAGCGTCTTTAAACTGCTGTCTATGTTGTCCTCTCTCAACATTTCTGGCAAACGTTCACTTAGTTGAAAGCTCTCCACTATTTGCTGCAAGTTCACGTTAGGATTTTGAGGTAGTCGAGCAACTGGAGGCGGTTGCTTCTCCGCAGTCTCTGGCACAGGTTCCAGCACGCTCGGATAATCGTTGGATAGCAAGACTTGTCGATGATCTTGAAAATCTTTCACAGGATAATTAAGTGCGCTACTTGGTCTGACATTATAATCGAACGCATAGTCATCTCGAAGATTGCCAGGGATAAGCTTAGCCGGTTGTTTTCTAGGCTGGTGATCTCTGCCATTTGTCGTGTAAGGTCGTGGTGGTCTCACGTTTGCATAGAATCTATTCTCCTTATGGGCAGACTGGCTGCTGGGTACCGTCGTTATCTCGGGATACGTTAGCTTTTGATCCTGATACAGCTGGTACGGTATCGAGTATTCGTCGTAATTGATCTTCGAACTATATCTCACAGGCGCGAAGTAGCTACTATCGGCTCCCACGTTCCTCGGATCGTATTGAATCGACGGAACGAACTTCTTCTCTTGATTCTGTACATTAACACGAGGATTCGTCACTCTTCGTGGCACGGTGTTCGTCCTGGTGAACGGTTGCGGATTTTTTCTCACCAGTGGACTGCTCTGTACCTCTTTTGCAGCAGTGGCTTGCGAAATCGGCGTTTGCGCGTTTACGTAGTTGCTGGCCACGTAGAAGGTCATGTAGGGTATCAATCTTCTGTACCTCTCTTTGAATTCCTCCAGCGTGATCTCTGGCAACGATTCGTCATTCTCCTCGTCCACTGTGACTTTCGTCGAGTTCGAGCCGGAGGATGCTGCACCGCTCGTGGTAGATAGCACTGTAACGAGAAAAGATAAAATTATTTATTCGTACGTTGATTAAGCTTGGATTAAGCGTGTAACTTTCAAAGATGATTCATATCCCTAAATAGAATTCTGCAGTCTCTGTCTAATCGTAAAATATATATCGGAGTGTTCTGACGAAAGATTACAATTCATCCTTTGCCGAGGCATCAAAGTACTCGCAATCGCAAAGTAACAGAACATTAGACCATTTTATGGAAACAAGCGAATCGCATAGAGGAAAGCATAGGAAAAAAACCTCCAATCCCATAAAACGAGACGACGTCGAGACGAATAACAAAAAGACCATCTCGTTAACGGAATAAATAGATCTGCATACGCGAATCACAACCTAGATTCGGGCCGACTCTTCGGAAACGCGCTTGCATAAAGTACGTCTGAATGGTTTAACGTGGTTGAAGTGTCGGAAGGGTGGTTAGAGGGTTGCGCGTCGGATAAACGTACCGCACCGAGTCCCTCTGAAATTCAAGTGTTTTCGAGTGTCGCGCGTCGCGCATGGACGAGAGAAGGACAGTGAGAGGGCAGGAATGATCTCGTAATCAGTGGGCTCTAATTATTACGACGTCCCTGCGGCGGGGAGCGGCTGACGAGAAAAAGGAAACCAAGTGGAAAATTTAGGAAAGGAAATAGGAGGAAATTAGGGAAAGATGGCGGATGGAAATGACGCTTGTTCGTAGCATCGTGGCTGATACACGCGTTTCTAATCGGCCTTTGAAAAAAAAAAAAAAAAAAAACACCACCAGCATCGTTATAATACCGCGACGCGCGTGCTCCTTCTCTTTCGTTTCCCTCTCAATCTTAATCTGTTCTCTCGTACCCGGCGGGATACGTGCGAAGTAATACGTACGCTGCACTCCAACCTGGTAGAAATTAAATTAGAAGGAAAATATTCGTAGAGCCGGCCAGCGCTTTTGCACGTGCACCGAGATAGCAAGAATAAAGGCGGCATCGGTGTATGGCAGCCGTTACGTACGTACGTACGTACGAGCACGAATACTGATATATTTGAACCACTCAGTGCGCGAACGCGCCCCGTTCGCTTGCGCGTGTGTACACGTACTCTCGTGTGCAGGATATATTCGCTCTGGCACGTTCGAGTGCTGCAATCACTAAAAACGTACCAATTCTCTGGCTCCGCTCTCTTCTGGCTTCAACCCTCAACCCTACGCGTGCTCGGCCACCTTTCTCCGTTATTTCCGTCTTGCTCGATCGTACAGGACAGCTCAATCTTTCGCGTGTTGCGCTAGACGCGCGTATGCTCCGCTGGTTAACCGGTTCCATCGGATTTCCCCGGGAAATTGACTCTGTTCGATCAATTCCGTTGTCAATTATGCTTTGTTTAACAGCCAATTATGTTTTCTTTCTTTCGCGAGCCTCTCTTCTTCTTCTTCTCCCTCCTTTTTTTTTCTTTACATTTCTTTGTTTCGAAGTATTCGCTTCGGCTCGATTTTTCGGCTTCGGTTCGTTCTGAAAAATGTAATCGATGGAATTTCGCTTAACTACGCGTTTTGAAATCATTTTAAGCACCGTCTACATTATCGTTCGACATTTGTTCTTTGCAAACTTTTGGCTCGTCGAATGATGAGCAGCTTTTATCACAGCAATCGCAGTTACTCGCAGTAAATTTAATATTGTTACCAAAACAAACACGTGCTAATGTGTTGAAGGAAATGTTGAAGGAAATCCTTCGGTCCTCGAGTCTCTGTGGAGGACCGTCTTCCGATTCCATTTGTCACAGAAGTGATGGCATTCGATCAGAGGGAATCACATGGCGCGATCATGAACCCGAGGGCCCGTCGTGAATTTTTATAAATCGATCATTTGACGACGATGTAACAAAGTACAGACAGCTAGAATGGCTATCGTTCTCGCGGCGGAGATAGAGATGGGTTAATCTCTCTCTCTCTCTTTCTCTCTCTCTCGGTATCCGAGCGTGGCACATCAAAGGGACTCGGTCTCTCTGTTGCGCACAAATACACACCGGTCCCGACCTGGAAATCCAATTCGATTCTGCATGAAATGAGTCTGGAAACTCTCCGTGTGGCGCGCGCGCGCCGCTTTATTAATCCTGTCAGTACCGGAACGTGATTGAAAAATCCGCAAAGCGCGTGTGCCGTGACTGGCTCGCCCTCTCCTCCTCCGCTTGGTTCACCTCTCTAAAGAGGTGCTCGCCCTGAAAATTTATAAAGCACCAGGCCGGCCGTGTCTGCATCTGCACAAAGAAGATGTGCACGAGCTCCCTTCAGGAGCTAACTGGACTCTCTCTCTCTCTATTCTTTCTTCGCTCTGCGCGTGAATTCGATTCGCGAGCCCGCGGATCCGAGTTAAGACGGATGTTTACACTCGTGCTGATCAGTGTTTCATCCTGGTGAAACGGCGTCCCTTCCGTTTTCTCGTTTTTCTCTGTCTCTACTTGAGAAATATTTGGACGTACATCGAACCGATGCTGGGACAGAGGCGATCTTTTGCTGCGGTTTCATTTTTTTTCGCGGTGGCTGCTTTGTTGGGGTAGGTCGATAAAATTGAGGCGGATGAAGGGAATGTTACAGGGACGTTTCAAAATGGAAGGTAGAAGAGATTGTCAAGTTCAGTCTCAAGGTCTTCTTCTTGAAAATGTGCTTCGTATTATGTACGAAACTTGTAAAAGGTAGTAAAAGGGAGGTTACGCGCATATTTTTCATATGTTTTCTATATTATTATATACAAATACATATTTTATATATAACATAGTTTCGAATGTATTTTGCAATACAAATTTCATTCTTTTTGAATTCGAAGTTCCGATTACGGATCTAATTTAGTATTTTGCAGCTTCCTTCGAATCACAACCCCGCCCCCTCCTCCCCCAATTTTGTAACAATTGAACGAACCTCTCTTGCCCAATAAGTATACTCGAATCGCACTCTGTCTACTTGATTCTCGAATTTCATTCAGTAGAACTTAAATATGAAAACCAACGGGCTCGATTGGGATGAAAATTTCTACCGTCCACAATCGTGCCGTCGTTTCGTTAACGAACGTTTCGTTCAATTCTCGTCGTTTCGTAATTTCCTTTCGTTTCTCTTCGAAAAAAAAAAAAAAAATACTCTTGAAAAAACTCTTCTTTTTCATGATTTTTCGCGGGGGCATTCACGCTCTCGCGAGGCGGCGGGGTATTAATTTCGTACTCGCGATGCACGGGCGCGCGTAATATTTCCGGCAAAGGCGGCGCCGGTAGTGTTTCACTCGTTAAGGAAAAACTTTCGTTTTCCAACGGCGGGAAAATGAGAAACGAGTTTATTTAGTCGGCTCGCGCGTTCGCGTGTTTTTTTTTTTTTTTCGACACGGCCCCTTCGTCTCCTGGCCGGGTACAATAAATAAAACCCCGGCGGTCGCAGTAATTTCTCGCGCCGGCTCGCGCGATTGCGAATATCGACGTTATGCCTGTATATATCCATAGGCGGTTATCAATTGTCCGTAGCAGTTGTTCCCTATTCTGTCGCGGGGCTCGTGCCTCTGAATTACGATTGTAACGATTGCCTTGTGTATTACGCGACCTGGCGTCTATGGACTTTTGTTTATTTTATGCCGCGTCGAACCGCGGACAAGACAGAGTAGACACCAGAATAGTCGGGTCGCGGCGGTCGCCAGTTTTTTATTCTCCATCGTTCGATGAATTTTTTTTTCCCTCCCTCCTCTCCGCCCCGTTTCTCTTTCTCCTCTTCCCCCATCTTTTATTTTTCCAATTGCAGATCCTATAATAAATCGCGGTGTATTTCATAGCGAATCCTGACTCTTCGATTCTCTCCGATCCTGTCCGTTTCGAAATCCGGCCTGACACTCTCCGTTGTTATTTATTCAATTTTACGAGGGAATTAAGAGCGTCCAAGGATTTAAAAAAAAAAAAAAAAAAAGGAAAAAAAAAAAAAAAAAAAGAAAAAAAACAAAAGGAAAAATAGAAAAAAAAAAAGGAAAAAAAAGTGACGACCACGTTCACCGTTCGACGAACAACGCTTGTCTTTGTTAATTATCGAGGTCGCGCTAATTTGATTGTACGCACAGGTGGCTAGTCTTTCTGTAAATTCGTAAATCGAGCATTCGCAAATTTAATATTGAATGAAACCGGCAAATACGATATTCTAACATTCGCCAACATGTAACCTTTGTCACAATTGAAATTTATTCGGAGCCTTAGAATAATCTACGAATTTCATAATTTTTTCACCGTACTCTTTTTGTTTCTATTCGACAAGTTGGAATCTCCTCGACCGTTTTTTTTTTTCCTTTTTAACACGGCTGAATAACTAGTCGTAATTTAGTACGGCTGAATAACTAAGAGTCGTAATTTATCGAATATTTGTCGTAACATTTCAATTCAAGATCCATTCGTCGTGGTGCTAAGGAAATTTCAAAATCTGTCCAACAGATGTTCCGCAAATGTTCTCAATGGCATACGTCCAAACGCTTTCGCCAGCCCATTTGTATATTACGATGTTGTCGGGGATGAAACGCGAGCAATTTCCATGGGTGTCTCACCCGCGGAATTGATTACCGCATCTGTTCCTCTCTTTCCTCTTTTGCACGAACGACGTCCGTTCGTACGTACGTACATACATACATACATACATACATACATACATACATATATACATGCATACATACATATATACATACATACATACGTACGTACGCGGCGAATCGCGGCCGGATTTCTACGTTTGCGCAACGATATTGTAGCGAGAGGCCGCGAGACACGAAAACTCGACGTGTCCGGCAGAATGTCGTGCCGATTCATCGGTATCTCGATACGGAATATTAATTGCCGGCTATTGGTCTCCCGGATTACGTTATTTCGAACGCACGTGACCTGGAAGCGTGACAGACGGCGAGTTTCATTGCGAGACAACTACGAAGTAGACGCGAACGGAATTCAGAGACGACCTCCTCCACCACCACCTTTCGCTGCCAGAACGTTTCAGCCTCTCTTTTCGAAATC